TTTACACAATCAATAAAATAAATGTAATGCAGTTTTGAAGAAAAGTTTAAATCATGTTATACTCTTGTAAAAAGAACTTTCAGAAAAATACTTTGTCACCCACCTCACAAGTCTTGGGTGTTTAAAGACTAATTCACATTGATAAATTCTGGGAAAGAAGACCATAGAAAGCAAATGTCCCAACTTAATCAAGATATGTTTTACCAGCATATAAAACACTGCTATTTAAAAACACATTTAATATGAGTTTCATCACTCACAAAGAAGTAAAGGAAAATCACACTTGTTATCCTGGAATAAGAAGCACAATCAGTCATGATTCTCCAAAATTATTGCATTCAGAGCTTGGAACTCTTCTAAATTTTTCATCCTTCTAAGTCTCCAGTAGGAAAACCTGCATCATTGCATAAATATTCCCTGAAGTTGTGTTCTTTCCTAGTATCAGAAGACTCAGGAAATCTTTCTCTAGAGTCAATCTTGCATAACTCTGGCAGGTCATAAGGACTGTGTGTGTTGTATTTTAGCAAGCTCTATAATGAAATATGGTCATCATGGAATTCTTAATTAGGCCAAGTTTTTTGGATTACTTAGAAGAACACACACACTCACTTGTGTGTGCATGCGCACATACACACATACACATCTCACCTGCAGCTTTAACTCTGAGGCCATATTACCTACATGAAAATGAAATCTATCATTTTATTTTCATTTCATTTGCCATGTCTTATATCCTTGCCATTCTTTATTGTATTGAGATATGCTGCCTTTATTTCTTTGGGGCCTTTTGCTTTTGAATCATGTGTAGATTATTTACCAGAACACAGTTATAGGTGAATTATCAATGAAGAAACAGATACTACTTCTCCCAGTCACTATTTACTGTCAAGAGTGTTTTAGGGTGGGGCATCATGAACTCTTTTGTGTTCTGTGCTAAAATATTGAAGGATTTAATTTTATTCAGGCAGCCACAATGACTGAATTCAGGAGTATATCAGTCATGTCAAATCCAAGAACATGCTTCATAGTATCTCTTGCCACCTAACAGGGGCCAGGTGTACCTTCTCAGTGAAAGAATGAATGGTCAGAAGAGATGCTATATTTTTCATTCTTGAGAAATTTTAAGAAAAATCTAACCACTAAAGGTAGTGCCAAAGTGAAAAGAACCATTTGATTCACATATATGCAAATAGTCTCATGGGAGAAAATAACATAACTTTATAGCTATATTCCAACTTTGAGAGGAGGGTACTCACTACTGGAGCACAAAAAAAAAAGATGGGTTGGAAGTCTCAAGTAGAGTACCAGAATCAATATAGCACTTAATATTAAAAGAATGATAAAGAATAAAAAGACGTTTTGATGCTACTTATAAACTTCAAAATCATCAAGAAAGATGTTAGCTAATCAGAGTATTTCATTACCTTTGGGAGACTACTCCATGTCTTATGTGACTTTGTGCTGAACTATTTAAAGTGAATATCCAACTTTCCTTTTAAGATGGGGCCCTCAGTATCTCAAGTAAGCAGCTCTGTAGTCTGAGATAATCCTCAGCCTTTCTATCTCTAACATGCCCCTTTAGCATTCTTAACCCTGCACACACTTCATTTAAGCTCAGGTTCTTTGGGAACTCAGGGTAGTGTAAGCTACCCTGAGATTGTATTATGCTTTTATACACTTGTTCATGCGGACTAAACTATTAACCTTTCTTGTCTAATAACCACAATATTTTTTAAATTACATTATGTATTATATAATTATGTTAGATATAATTAAATATATTATTATTATATTATACTGTAATTATATTACTGTGACCTTTATTTGTTTTCATAAGTACTTATGTCCACTTTGTATCAATTTCCTAAATGTTCTATCTTCTAAATATTTTGAACTGAAGGCAAATTAACTAACAATTGAAAACTAACTGGTACCAGTGTCTGTTTAATTATTTCTATGATTATTTGTTATTGTTTGCAATGTCCAATGTGACATGTGACCTGTTTTCCAAATTTTATAGGTATTAACATTCTAATGCAGAAATTCTAAATATCTTCAGTGATATGGACTTAATAAAGTTATAACTGAAATCCCAGTACATGCTTTTCCACTATTACAGCTCATGTTGGCTTCTTATAAATATTTTCAAATTCCCTAGAAACATAAAAAAGGAAAAAAAGACACCACTGAATTAAAACAGTTGAATGGGGTTTGTTTTGGACACAAAACAAATTATTCATACACAGTCCACATATTTAAATTACTTTCTGGAAGATTTTGTGATGGAAAATGCCAGTATAAGGGTTCACTTATTATATCATCTGCAAATAATAAAAGTTTGACTTCTTCCTTTCCAATTTGAATCCCCTTAATCTCCTTATGCTGTCTTATTGCTATTGCTAGAACTTCAAGCACTATATTGAAGAGGTATGGAGAGAGTGGACAGCCTTGTCTTGTTCCTGATTTTAGTGGGATGGCTTTGAGTTTCTCTCCATTTAATTTAATGTTAGCTGACCAGCTGGGCGGTGGTGGCGCACGCCTTTAATCCCAGCACTTGGGAGGCAGAGGCAGGCAGATCTCTGTGAGTTCGAGACAAGCCTGGTCTACAAGAGCTAGTTCCAGGACAGGCTCCAAAACCACAGAGAAACCCTGTCTCTAAAAACAAAACAAAACAAAACAACAACAACAACAAATATTAATGTTAGTTATCAGCTTGCTGTATATTGCTTTTATTATATTTAGGAATGAACCTTGTAACCCTAATGTCTCCAAGAAAGGGGTGTTGAATTTTGTCAAATGCTTTTTTAGCATCTAATGGAATGATCATATGGTTTTTTTCCTTAAGTTTATTTATATGATGGATTACGTTGATAGAATTTGTATGTTGAACCAGCCCTGCCTCCCTGGGATTAAGCCTACTTAATCATAATATATAATTTTTTGGATGTGTTCTTGGATTCGGTTTGCCAGTATTTTATTGAGAATTTTTGCATCAATGTTGATGAGTGAGATTGGTCTGTAATTCTCTTTCTTGGTTAAGTATTTGTGTGGTTTTGGTATCAGAGTGACTATAGCTTCATAATAGGAGTTAGGCAGTGACTCTTCTGTTTCTATTTTGTGAAACACATTAAGAATGATAGGTATTAACTCGTCTTGGAAGTTTCGGTAGAATTCTGTATTAAAACCATCTGGTCCAGGGCCTTTTTTGGTAAGGGAGGTTTCTGATGACAGCTTCTATTTCCTCGCGACTTACAGGTCTATTTAAACTGCTCACCTGGTCTTGACTTAATTTTGGTATATGGTATTTATCCAAAAAGTGTCCATTTCTTTCACATTTTCCAATTTTGTAGCATACAGGCTTTTGTAGTAAGATCCAATGAGTCTCTGAATTTTCTCTGTGTCTGTTGTTATGTCCCCCTTTTCATTTCTGATCTTGTTAATTTGCATGTTCTCTCTCTGCCATTTGATTAGCTTGGATAGGGGTTTGTCAATCTTGTTGTTTTTCTCCAGGAACCAACTTTTTGTTTCATTGATTCTTTGGATTGTTTTCTGTGTTTCTATTTTGTTGATTTCAGCCCTCAGTTTAATTGTTTCCAGTCTTCTACTCCTCCTGAGTGAATCTGCTCCTTTTTTTTATTTTAGATCCTTCAGCTGTGCTGTTAAGTCTCTAATGTGTGATTTTCTCTGTTTTCTTTGTGTGGGCACTTAATGCTATGAATTTTCCTCTTAGCACTGCTTTCATAGTGTCCTATAGGTGTCTATATAGGTCCTATAGGTATGTGGTGTCTTTATTTTTGTTGAATTCAAGGAAGACTTTAATTTCTTTCTTTATTTCTTCCTTGACCCATGTATGGTTCAGTATTTGACTGTTCAGTTTTCATAAGTTTGTAGGCTTTCTGGGGTTAGAATTGTTATTGAATTCTAACTTTATTCCATGGTGATTTGATAGTACACACATGGTTACTACAATTTCTTTATATCTATGGATGTTTGCTTTATTACCAATTACGTTATCAATTTTTTGAGAAGGTTCCATGAGATGCTGAGAAGAAGGTATATTCTTTTCTGTTTGGGTGGAGTGTTCTATAGATGTCTGTTAGGTCCATTTGGTTCATAACATCTGTTAGTTCTCTTATTTCTCTGTTAGGTTTCTGTCTGGTTGACCTATCCATTGTTGAGAGAGGAGTGTTGAAATCACCCACTATTAGAGTGTGGGGTTCGATGTATGCTTTGAGTTCTAGTAATGTTTCTTTTACATAAGTGGGTGCTTTTATATTAGGGGCATAGATTTTCAGGATTGAGACTTCCTCTTGATAAACTGTTCCTGTTATGAGTATAAAGTGTCCATCTCCATGTCTTCTGATTGATTTTAGTTTGAAATCATTTTTGTTATATATTTGTATAGCCACACCCACTTGTTTATTTGGTCCATTTGATTGGAAAACCTTTTCCCAACCCTTTACTATGAGGTAGTGTCTGTCTTTGAGTTTGCGGTGTGTTTCTTGTAAACATCAGAATGTTAGATCCTGATTTTGTATCCATTCTCTTAACCTGTGCCTTTTTATAGGTGAATTTAGCCCATTGATATTAAGTGATATTAATGACCAGTGGTTGTTAAATCCCATTATTTTTTCTGGTGTAAGGCTGAGTTTGTGGATACGTATTGTTTAAATCTGTTTTTGTCCTGGAATATCTTGTTTTCTCCATCGATGGTGAATGCAGGCTTTGCTGGGTAAAGTAGTCTGGGCTTGCATCCATGGTCTCTTAGTGTCTGCAGCATATCTATCCAGGACCTTCTGGTTTTCACGGTTTCCATTGAGAAGTCAGGTGTAATCCTGATAGGTTTTCCTTTATATGTTACTTGATCTTTTTTGCTTGCAGCTCTTAATGTTCATTCTTTATTCTGTATGTTTTTTGTTTTGATTATTATAAGGTGAGGCGATGCTTTTTCTGATCCAATCTAATCTATTTGGTGTTCTGTATGCTTCTTGTACCTTCATAGGAATATCCTTCTTTTCTTCTTTGAATTTTTTGACTGTAAAACAATCTAAGTAAAAAGAGATATTTCATTGTTGGGCTGCTAAGGTAAACCAGCCTGTATATTACAAAAGTATCTTAACTTCAGAATTTGGGTCTAAGGATATGTTGCTTTGGAAAAGAGGTTCTTCTTTTGTTTCCATAGAGGATGAGAACCTGTGGAATCCTTCCAGACTGACATGGTTTGATAGACCATGACATTCTCAGAGGTCACCATGAACATCCCCCCCAAATTAATTCACCCAACAAAAAGCAGAAGGAACTTTGGAGAAGAACTATACCCATATTCCCAAGTATTTTTATAAATATTTGTTTACATTTCAAGGGTGGTATGCTATAGTTATTTGCATCAGCATGGATCTTGGTTTATTGATAAAAATTTAAGGTCAATTTTGTTAGATGTATATTTATGCTCTTGGTTAAGGTATTATATTTGTACAGCTTATTTAAAAATATAAAGTATAATTAAGAAATATAATAGATAATCATTTATAATAGTCAAACTTGTAGTCATGTTAGATTTTCTAGATGTACTGGTATGTATTTCAGATGGATAGACATTCTTCAAATCTTTCAGAGATCTTCAGAATGTGGCATTTAAAATGCTTTTTAAGAACTTAGGACTTTTCAGGACAATGACACATATCTATTCCTAGCAGCACCAATTTACTTCAAAACGAAGATGAGTATTGAAGAGGCTCCTTATGGAGTTGGTTAGCCATTTGGGCAAGAAAATGCTCTTGCCTGAACTTCTTGATAAACTGGACATGCAGGACCCTCAGAGAAATGACTGCTAAACTTGCCGAAAGGTGAGACAGTCCTTTGGTGTTCTTGCTTTATGAAAGTGTCTGATAGACATTCTACAGGATACAAAAGGAAGTTACTGACAAACTGCAAATAGAGGCGAACCTGTTTTTAAATTTTCCTGCTGCATGGAAAAGTCTGCTGGATACTATGGGATTATAGCCTGAAGATAAATGCCTCAACGATACAGAAGAACTTTGGGTGAGTGTCTAGGCAGATGTCCATGTCAGTTCTAGAGTTTTGGAAGTTGCTTACAATGCACTTCCTGTTTCCGTAGGTAATATATCTTTCTGGATTCTTTGATGGAGTTGAAGAATAGATAGTAATAATATAGTTTTCCTTAGTTATGATAAAAGATAAAACCAATATAAATATTGTAACTAATTCTTGCTTAATACCTGTTTTGTTATATGTAATTTCACAATGTTAAACTTAAAATCTTCCTTTTCATTTAAACAGAAAAGGGGAGGTGATGTGGAATTCTCCTCTGTATGTGGAAAATATCATTGGTTAATAAAGGAACTGCTTTGGGCCTATAGCAGAAGTATAGGGGAACAGAGCTAGGCAGGGAAAACTAAACAGAATGCTGGGAGAAAGGAGGTGGGGTCAGAGAGAACCATATAGCCTCACCAGAGATGGATGCTGGAACTTTAGCCGGTAAGCCACAGCCATATGGTGATACACAGATTAATAGAAATGGGTTAAATTAAGATGTAAGAGTTAGGTTGGCCAATCAGAAGCTAGAACTAATGGGCCAAACAGTGATTTAAATAATATGGTTTCTGTGTGATTATTTTGGTTCTGGGTGACTGGGATGAACAAGCAGCCCCCTCTAGCATAACATTTGTGCTATGTGACTTGGCCGGGTTCTCTTCATGTTACCTTTTACTCATGGGCTGGGAACGTATGGAACCCTCAGCTCAGACCATTAATGCAAATGATAAGGTTCTTTCTCCAAGTCAGTTTTTGCTGAAATTTACCTCTGGTTGCTTCCCATAGCTAGAAACATGACCTGACTACACATGGTGGTCCTCTCACATTCGAGCCATTTGGCTACCCTAGCACTGTGCTCGCTGAGCAGTGTGGTGCATTTGTTTTGTGGCTTGGGGTCCCTTAGATATTTATTTTTGTTTGCTTGTAAGTGACCTATGCCATGAGAGACCACTCTGGGTAGCCTCAATTACTGAACCTGCCCTCAGAGGGAACACGTTTCCCTGCTGGCCTTGAGGTCTGCTCTGTTTTTGCTGCTTTCAAAACTATCAGGCTATAAATGCTTTGTGGGTGCCTGCTGACTCTGCTTTTTTTCCCTGGGCAGCCCCTGTCTGTAAATGCTTATTTTCTTTCACTCCCATTTTTTTCTATTCTATCACTGCTATCACTACCACTAATCCCATGGAAACTGACAATATTAGTTGGATTCATGAGGCAGCTGTTTCCTGTTGTAGCTTTTGCTCCCCACTGTGGCTGTTGGTGTGGTGGCTTGGCAACAGGATGGTTCATGGTGCTGAGTAATTTTTCTCTCTACTTCATGTATAAAAGAATGTGTGAATAGTGTGGCCACACAGATGTAATTGTGTTTTAAATGTATGTTCTACACAGCCTCTATGTCTCTCTTGTTATTATGTTTAAAACTCCCATGGCTCAAAAAAGTGGTTTCTCCATATATCATGTGACTGCTGCCATTTTGACTGAGGTCAGGTGACCTCATTGCCATCTTAAATGAGGGTCAGTGACCAAGTTCTGCTATATTTACTGGGGTATTCCCCACGTAGTCTCTCAGTTTATTTATGTTTGTCTCTAAATTTCTCTTACTGTCTCTGTTACATGTATGTTTTGCACAGTGGCATGGTTTTAGTAGGGCCCACCAGAAACATCCACTTCATCCAATTCTTCTTTAATGTTTATGTATGTATGTGTCTCTGCATACATGTATCTTAAATGCACATAAGTATACTGTTATATTAAACAGTTCTCTAGTATTATCTAGTATTATCAGTTCTACTGTTAAGCTTCTATTGCAAGCAGTTTTTTCTACTTCTTTTATAATTATAAATCTTACCTGTTAAATTGAGAGCCAGTACAGTCAAGCTTGGACCCAGCTCTCCAGTCAGATTCTATATTGTAGTTATAATGCATCTATACACGATAAAATCCCTCAACTGCTCAGAGATCTGGGGAATATGGAATTTAAATATTTAACTACTAAAAGACTTTTTGTAACAGAGAGAAACAAGTTGGTTCCTAGCAGCAGCACTCTACTTTCTCCAAAGAAGACAAAAGACAGATGGGCACAAAACAACACCCATCCATAAGTGCTGACCACTGAGCAAAACTGACTTTCATCTAAGTTGAAAGTCTCTAGACGGTGGGCAAAATCACCAGAAATGACAGCCTAGCTGCTCAGGTCAAGGTAGGCTTGTCTTCCTACAGATTTCTTTTCCCACAGGATCTTTGGGAGCCTGGCTGACCTTGTGCTAAAAGGCAAAAAGGCAAATACAACCCTCAGTGACCATGGAGAACTCTGAGTAGTAGTTCTAGGTGCCAGCTGAGTAAGTTCTCTGTTGGTTTTTAATCAATAACTTAAGTAAAATTTTATCCTTCTCAAAGATCTCTGATGTAGTTTGACAGCTGAGAGGTTTTGTCAATTTAATAGGATAGCCTTACTAAACAAATTTCAGTAAAATACACAATAAAAGTGATTCAGGTGTGTACCTGCAAGTTATAAAGATGTAAGTACAAAATTCTTTCTGACTCTGTTTTTTGCAGTCTTAAAGATACTTTTCATAATGCAAAAACACCTGTCATACTAGCATATATATTGTTGATTAAAACTTATGCTTTCATAAACCCAAAAAATTCTTGTGAGTTCCAGGGAGCCAAATTGAAGGATCTACCTTAAACAGATCAGATACACCCCTCTCAATTTCCTGGTCCTAAATTTTTTTTTTCTTCTTAAACTTAACTTTGTCCTCTGTTCTGCCAATACCTTAAGCAGGTCTAAAAGACACTAGACATTTCTATACTACAAACCCTGGATAGGAGTAAAGAGACCAGCTACCTCAGGATATGACCAGCATCCAGCTTTCTCAGGTCCCCCCTTAGACTATGCCCACAAATAAACAGGAATTAGTCTTGAGAATCTGCCATCTTGATTCCTTTAACCTATAGTGCCTGACTTCTGGCCTTTTTATTATAAGAGATGGGAATGCTATGGTCTGTCCTATCACTTATTCTGTCTCTTTAAGAGACAAGCTTCCACCTGAAAAAGAGTATCTTCCTCCTCCTTCAGCCTGAGAAGGCTCTCTCTCTACTGTCGCTCTTTGGAAGAGGTAGCTTCTGCCTTTCCTCTCCCCACTTTCTCCCTCTCTCTCTCTCTCACTTTCTCTCACCCTTCCCCTTCCCTTTCATAGCCCACTAAATAAACTCTACTCTCAAAATCTCTCTCCATTGTGTGTTTCTCACCTGCCAAGGTTGAGGCCTCATGTCACCTGCCATGGCCCCTCATGGGACTGGTTTTCCCAGATCTGGGACCTGCTACTCCTCATACCCACTTCTGGTCCTTGCAGAACCACTGCTCCTTTGGGTCACCAGCTACTGCTCAGCTCAGGACACCTGCAGTGTTTTTTAAACCATAAAAATGCCTTTACCTTTTGTGAAGCAAATGTTAAATTCATGGTCAGTTTGTAATAGAATTATCCCTAAAGACTGGATAGAATTGGTTAACAATGTTTTAGAACTTGGTACACAATTACAATGGAGAACCTGGTTCAAATTAGAGGCCAGATTATTGAACAATGGAGTAAAGCTAGAGGTAGGGAAATCCCTTAAGACTAAATTTATGGAGAAGGAGACTATGCTACTATAGAATGACAATCTATATATGATGACCATACCCTGGATTTATGAAGAGTAAAAGCTTTGAATACCTGGGACAGAATTAGAAAAAATTAGAAAGAAAATCAAGTCATTTACTAAAGCTAGACAGGGCTCAAAGGAAGTCTTTTTAAATATTCTACAAAGATTGACTTCATCAATAAGTAGGAAGATACCAAATTCAGAAGCTAGATAAATAATAATTGAATCTCTGGCTTTTGAAAATGCCAATTCTCTAGGAAAATTCTCCATGAAAAAGGATAATTAAGCCATTAGAGGCAGGGTCAGCACCTTTAGAGGAATGGATTTGAGATTCAATGAATACTGAATTAATTCATGATGATGTGAGACTAGAAAAGGTGATTTCCAGAAGTTTGAGAAAAAGAAGCAAAATGTCAAATGTTATTATTGTGACAAACAAATTCATCTTAAAAGGGATTATAGACAGGGTCTTCCTAGAAACAATGTTTTTTTTTTCTTCTTAAGTGTAGGGCCCTGGTCTCCCCTTATTCCTGGGGTACATTCGCAGGGACAGTTTATGATCAGCTAACTAAGCTTCCTGTGTGTTTCTGTGAACTCCCTGCCCCACCTGGTGATTAGCTGCAGGGCATTTACTCCTTTGTTAATATGGTAATTTCCCACCTGCCTGGGTGGAGATCCTGTGCAGCAGTTAGGTACATAAGGATTTCCCCAAGTCTGAATAAATGGCATTCGGCTGGTCTCCTTTCGAATGACCCTGGTCTCTGTGTGTGTGTTCTTTTCAATCTCCAGGCTCTTGCACAACTCGTGTACGGTACAATGGCACGCAAACTGTACCGAGGATGTAACACAAAATCGGGTGTTAAAATTGGAGGCCCCACTGGGATGATCATCGGCAACTAGACCCATCTGCGAGATCTGGAAGTAGGGATCCCTGAGAGGTCGCCCTCGGAAAGGCTGGCCAGCAGGTAAGAAATTGAGCTGCGAGGGTGAATTGGTTATGGGTGCAAGTTATTCTGTTCCAGTGTTAAAGGGCCAGTTAACAGGTCAGTTGTTAGCTCTTTAGGAAAATAAAGGCACTGGTATTAAAGTTGAGACAGCACAAGAGATCATTAAGACGGTTTTAGAGTTTAGTCCCTGGTTCCTACACGTAGGGGTCTTTAACATTACTGATTGGGAGCAGGTAAAGGCTGATCTTCAAAATGCACTGAAAGACCGTGGGCCACAAGAATTCCCCATGGTGATATTTTCACTATGGCGCTTAGTCAGAGATGCTCTTCTCAGTGATGATGTAACAGTGAAAGAGCAATTAGAGAGTTTGAACAAAACCCTTGAGGAGATTCAGGAAGTAGAATCTGTGAGTTCTATTAAGAGTTTTGAGGAACAGGAAGTTTTAGGAACAGGAAGTATTAGAAAGGATATAGAAGAAGAAGAAGAAGAAATTTAGAAAAGGAGATCGCACTGATAAAAAAGAAGTTAGAAAAAGAGGAAAGGAAGGAAGCAAACGGAGATGTCTCCATGAGACCTCTGCTGCAAAATCCTTGCACTACTGCTTCTGCCCCTATAGACTTAGAGGCAGAAATCTGAGAGATCCAGAACAGGTTAAATAACATAAGTAGAGAGAGGCAGATTTATCCTGTTGTGGAAAATATTGATCAGCAGGGATAGAGGGCCAGGCAGCATAACCCCCTGGCCTTTAAGGATATTAAGCAGTTAAAAGAAGCAGTTGTGGACTATGGAGCTCATGCTCCTTTCACTGTAGCTTTATTGGAATCCTTTGCAGAACTCAACTTTATACCCAGTGACTGGATGCAGCTTTGCAGGGCTTGTCTTTCAGGAGGAGATTACTTGTTATAGAGAAGTGAAATGCAGGAAAATTGCAAAAGACCACAGGGAAAAATGCCGAAGCAGGTTTCCCCGAGTATAACCTTGACATGTTAACTGGTGAAGGACAATATGCTGGCTTAGCAGCACAGATTGCATATGATCCTGTGATTTATGCTTAGATAGCTGCAGCAGCCTTTAAGGCTTGGAAAACCTTACCTAACAAAGGATCACAAGAACAGCTTTCTAAGATTTTTCAAGGATCTTCAGAACCTTATTCTGAGTTTATTGAGCGCCTTCTTCAGGTGGGAAGTCGCATTTTTGGGGATGTGGATTCAGCTATGCCAGTCATTAAACATTTGGCCTATGAAAATGCAAATAAGTTTTGTCAGGAAATTTTATGCCCCCATAGAGATGGAGATTTGAATGACTTTATCTGATTATGCAGAGACATTGATGGCACCCAAGTCATGGGCCAGGTAATTGTTTCTGCCCTTAAGGAAGGCCAAGTTGGAGCTAGGCCAAGGAATTGTTTTCAATGCGGAAGGTCAGGACATCTCAAAAGGAACTGCCCTGCTGGTAAAGGGATGGTTAATCAGCCCAGGAAATAAACCAGGTGTGCTGGTACAAGCCTTTAATCCCAGCACTTGGGAAACTCTTGAGTTCAAGGCCAGCTTGGTCTACTGAGTGAGTTCCAGGAACAGCTAGAAGCAGGCCACATAGTGCCATCCACTTCTCCCTGGAATACTCCTATCTTTGTTATTAAGAAAAAGACTGGTAAATGGCGGTTGCTACAAGATCTTAGAGCAGTAAATGATTGTATGGAAATTATGGGGACAACTCAACCTGGCTGCCTCAACCTAAGACAGGAAATGTGTTTTGACCTGGATGCTTTCCATGACAGGTAAGGGGTATTGCCTGATGTCCAATGTCACCCAAGACAGGCCTAGTCATAATTTATATAAAAGGAGGACCTGTAGGGCCCTGGTCTCCCTTATTCCTGGGATACATTTGCGGGGACAGTTTATGATCAGCTAACTAAGCTTCCTGTGTGTTTCTGTGAGCTCCCTGCCCCACCTGGTGATTAGCTGCAGGGCATTTACTCCTTTGTTAATATGGTAATTTCCCACCTGCCTGGGTGGAGATCCTTGTGCAGCAGTTAGGTACATAAGGATTTCCCCAAGTCTGAATAAATGGCATTCGGCTGGTCTCCTTTCGAATGACCCTGGTTTCTGTGTGTGTGTTCTTTTCAATCTCCAGGCTCTTGCACAACTCATGTATGGTACAGTGGCACGTGAACTGTACCGAGGATGTAATACAAAACCGGGTGTTACAATTCAGAATGCCCCTCTTTCCTGGATTCTATGGAAAATATAATAAAGGTAGGTATTGGGCTAATAAATGTAAGTCAATAAGGAATATTCTGGGTTATTCTTTGCATTTTGGAAATTCCATGAGGGTCCTCTGGAAGGACCCTATGTTAAATCTATGTCAGTCATTTCCTGTCAATGTGGAGGAGCCCCCGTCCCTTAACAATCAAAGAACCTATTGCATATTGTAAAAAAACATACTGCTTTGCATAATAGACCAGCTATGGAAAAGAGAATAAAAAATTCAGGAGAAACCATAGAATGCATATTTTGGCAAACTTCTATAAATGAAAAAAGACCAAAATTAAAAATATGAATAGATGATGTTGTCATTGAAGGTATGGTAGGCACAGGTGTGGATGTGACAATAATTTTGTCAGAAACTTTGCATCCAGATTGGCCTCTTCAGGATGTAAAAGTTCAATTTTTAGGGATTGGAACTTTATCTCAGGTAAAGAAGAGCATGAGATGAGTTGAATGTATAGAGCCAGAAAGACAGAAAAGAATATTAAAACCATTTGTGACTAACATAACAATGAACTTGTGGGGACATAATTTGTTACTGCAATGGAATAGTCATATAAACATTCCCCGAATCTTAGGAACAAACCATAAATTAATATATGCTTCTGGGAAAAATACTGGAAGCTTTTATAAAGAACAGCCAATGATAAGGTTGTACAAGAACAGGGCACAAAGCTGTTGATATTTTAAAGGTACTAATAGCCCTAGCTTTAAAATGGTTGACAGACAAACCTGTATGGATTAAGCAATGCTTTTAACAATAGAGAAACTGGTGGCTTTAGAAAAGCTGGTACAGGAGCAACTAGATGCTTAGCTCATTGAAGAATCAAGCAGCCCTTGGAATTCTCCTGAACTTGTTATTAAAAAGAAATCTGTAAAATGGAGAATGGTAACAGAACTAAGAGTTGATAACAAAGGGATTCATCCAACGGACTCCCTACAGTCTGGAATTCCTTTGTCTTCCCTATTGCCTAAAGAATGGCCTCTTATATTTATTGATTTAAAAGTTTGGTTTTTTCACTATACCTTTACAAAAATAAGACAGGGAAAATTGTCTTCACAGTGCCTACTTACAATCCTCAGCCTGCTAAGAGATATCAGTGGAAGATTCTCCCACAGGGGATGTTAAATAGCCTCACTTTTTGCCAATATTTTGTAAGTCAGTCACTAGAAATGATATGTAAGCAATTTTATAATTTATAATTTGCCATTACATGGATGATATTTTAGTATCTGATTCAAATGGATATATTTTAGAAAGAATGGTTGAAGAAGTAAAGAAAATTTTGCCTTGCTGGGGATTACAAATTGCTTCTGAAAAATTACAAATGGAAGATTGTATTAATTATTTAGGTTATTAAATGGGTTTACAAAAATTTGGTCTTAGAAATTCCAAATTAGGGTAGATAATAAATCTTAATGACTTCCAAAGATTTCTAGGAGATGATTTTAATATATGGCATATTTTTGGTTTAGGTACTGATGACCTATTTAATGAAAACTTTAGATGGTGACAAGACCTTATCAGGAAATTATCTGCTGAATTGGGAAAAGAAATGGCTTGATTGAAGAGAAATTACAGAAAGCGCACGTGGGCAAATCTTAAATACATTCTGGTCATACTAGCCTTAAAACATTCCTCTGTAGGAATTTTAAGGCAGACGGAGCATATTATCTTAGAATGGAATTTTTATTATATAAACTGAGTTAAAACATTAGCCAAGGACAATGGCACTGGGTTTTGATCCTACTTCATGTTCTGGCTTTGTGGGAGCCTAGCCTGTTTAGATGCTCACCTTCCTAGACCTGGATGGAGCGGGGAGGACCTTGGACTTACCACAGGGCAGGGAACACTGACTGCTCTTTGGACTTGAGAGGGAGAGGGAAGGGAGTGAGGGGTGAGGAGTTGGGGCAGGGGGAGGGAAAAGGGAGGTGGGGAGGAGGTGGAAATTTTTAATTAAAAAAATTAAAAATTTACATGAAAAATGTCTCTGAGTTAGTTCTAAAAGGAAAACTGAGAATTTGTCATTTACAAGGAATAGACCCAGAAGAAACTATAATACTTTTTTTAAATGCTTTTTTTAAATTAATTTATTTATTTATTAAAGATTTCTGTCTCTTCCCCACCGCCGCCTCCCCTTTCCCTCCCCCTCCCCCAATCAAGTCCCCCTCCCTTGTCAGCCCAAAAAGCAATCAGGGTTCTCTGCCCTGTGGGAAGTCCAAGGACCACCCACCTCCATCCAGGTCTAGTAAGGTGAGCATACCCGAAACTGCCTAGGCTCCCACGAAACCAATAGGTCCAGTAGAATCAAAAACCCGTTGCCATTGTTCTTGAGGTCTCAGTAGTCCTCCTTGTCCGCTATGTTCAGCGAGACCAGTTTTGACCCAGGCTTTTTCAGACCCAGGCCAGCTGGCCTTGGTGAGTTCCTGATAGAACGTCCCCATTGTCTCAGTGTATGGGTGCACCCCTCGCGGTCCTGAGTTCCTTGCTTGTGCTCTCTCTCTTTCTGCTCCTGATTTGGACCTTGAGATTTCAGTCCGGTGCTCCAATGTGGGTCTCTGTCTCTGTCTCCTTTCATCGCCTGATGAAGGTTAATATTCAGGAGGATGCCTATATGTTTTTCTTTGGGTTCTCCTTCTT